CAGGTGCTTCTGAATTATACGAATTTCTTTCTCAAACCGCTCTCGGTGTAGTACAGTACTTGTATTTGTTTTCTCAGCAAAATATTTCGCTTATGTCGTCCAACTTCAAAGTACAAGGACTTTTGAAAAAAGCGATTAAACTTAGCAAGCACAGAACAGCTCCCAGACAAAAAGCGACAAAGGGAGAACCACTACGAAAAGGTCAATCACTGATTATTTTCCATGCAGGATCAAATGCCTGCATCTTGTATCTCGAATGTCTGAAGATACATAAAACAATATCCGTTCATGTGCTGAGCATCATGTACTCGATGTTGAAACGGGTTCTTATAATCTGCTGCACTTGAAATCAAATAGAAAATACCCGAAGAAAGATTTAACGAAGATGCGTAATTTTGATTAAATAAACTGGAGGATTTTTCTGTTGTTGCTTTTCATCTGGGGGCTTTTCTCCTCTTCTGACCCGTTATTCGCTCGTATATATACATCATCAGTACACTTCTTATTGTCATATTCCAACAGATTTCATGATTTGATTTGTTCGAGACCATTATTTTGTGTCAAATTTTTCTACGCCTTGGATATTTTCGAAAGAATTCGTCAAATAATGGTATAATTAATTAAGCAACACCTCGTGCGGTTTCGAGGCAGCAGCAGTGCGGTACACGTAAACTTCCAGGAAAACTTACAGCATGAAAATAATGAGTCAATGAACATGCGTTTTACACTTCTGGAATGCACTGCTGTATCATTTGACGGGAAGTAAGTGTAGATCAAGGAGATGATGTGTACTGACGCAGAGAATGCGTTTCCTTCGAACGTGTATAGGCAGCTGCAACGGAAGTCCTCGTGCCCCAGCGAAATGACGATGACGTCGTACGTGTGTACAAACAACAGCCTCACGGGGAACAACCTGACGGTGCACTCTACTTTGCACCTACCTAGATCTGAGTCATCCACACCGAGCAGGTCGTCGCAAGCCCAGGTAGTGTTCGCCTGATTCACTTGCTATGGACGCTGCCACGATGAGGAACTTGTTCAGTGACGCAGGGATTGCGAATGAGTGCCGCAGGTTTCGTGGATCCCCGGATGAGTTCTGCGTGGCAAAATGGTCTTCAACTGGATGGCAACCAGCCGGCAACTGCGACATTCGAGATTTCTTATTGAGTCGGAATTGACTTACGGTTGAATGCGCTTGTAAAAGCCCGGCGTTCGTGTCTGGATGTTAGGTGTGCCAGTATATATTGTGCACATGCTTGTGCGACCATTCGGTTTCGTTGAACAGTGCGATTTTGTTGGGGCGAGTCACCGCAGATTCTTCGCTTGGAATTCCATTCAGTCATTTCATTTTTCGTACTTCCACGAATTACATTCAATGATAAACAGGCTTATTTGAAGCGACGAATTCCTATATTATTATAATGGCATGGATGCGTTGGTATATTAAACATTCAAGGCCATCATCAACAGATTTATGAACATTGTTCTATCATGAAAAGTTTCGATGAAAGTTTTATATCGGTATTTGCGCAAAATTATGAATTCGCGTTAGAGATCGGAATCGTGCAGAATGCTCATATCTGCCCCTTTTACGACGGTTCACTCAGTAGTTTTTCAAAAAATGCTTCAGAAATTCACACCCCTGAACGCGAATCAAAAATTATATCTCCAGTGTAATTACTGTATTGCTTCGTTCTCTGTTTTGTTGAATGGTATGATTCATTTTTGTTGCTTGTCGTTTGTTGAACAGTATTCCGTTGACGGAACAGGTGGACGAGAAATTTGTGTGTTGCTCTGCTGGCTCTGTCGTGAAGTGTGATGTTCGTGTCAAGATTATCGAAAAACATTATATGTATTATGCATTGACATGAATTTCATTTTCATACCAAAGCATGCTCCATTCATTCAGCTCAGTTCGAGTAAACACGATCTACTATAGGTCAGTTTGGAGTATCTTCCAATACTAGCTCAATTACTTGTCTAACTGTGCGACTCAGAGACTGCATTCATTCAGCAGTTCTTGCGGGGAAAGTTCGCATCTACAGGTGGACTCTCTCTCTATAACGAACTTTCCTACAAGAAATTTCTGCCTTCAACATTTTTTCCCCAAGCAGCTTGCCATAGAGGCATGGACAGCAATGTTAAAAGACTATCTACAACGATTTACTTGTTATTTTATCCCTTTTGTGAGGATCACAACGGACAGGGCTACAGATTTTTGTGGAACCCACTGGTTCTGCATGGCGGCAACAACAAAAAGGAATCTTGGGGGCAAAAAAAGCTAAAGAACACTGTTTTTGGCGGCCAAAAATAAGCTGATCAGTGGCCGGAAAAGGGCCGATTTTGGCAACAGAAAAAAAAACTGATTTCGGCAGCAAAAAAAAATCTGATTTTGGTAGCAAAAAAGGCCAACTTTTGCGGGGGAATAAAGCTGCTTTTGGAAGCAAAAAGCAGCTGATTGTGGCAACCATAGATTTGAGAAGGATGAAAAAGAAAGCATGCGATCATTTGTTCTCTTCCTGGTACATTTTGAGCCTATCGTCTCTAAACTCTTGGGGGTTTCTTTTTACACATCTTATCCAATTCATCAATTGCGTTCACAATGATCTTTAGCTTACTCTCTAATTCAAACTGTTTTCATATTTTTCAGTTTGTAACAAATTGTGATAAAAAAGGACACATCCCACCAGTTTCATCCTCAAGATGTTCTGCTTTGTGTGTTCAATGAGCTTATGCCTTTTGAAGAATTGTGTTTTTAGTCCTTCCTAATGTGAATGTTACTGCGAATTCATAATCTTTTACAAAAAGCTTTTTTTCAGTTTGACAGCAATTTTGGTTTTGTTTGTTAGTTGAGTGAAATCAGTTTGAAAGCAGTATTCTTCATTTCCCCATGAATAAATGTCATGACCATAATTTTTGAATTCAGATTGCATATTTTTGCCTCTTCAAATGTGGTGAAGGTTATCCATAAAATGAGTGTTGAAAAGGCATAGCATGTGGAGAACATAAGTGAAAGCAATTTACTCTGTAAAAAAAACATATTTGGCGCCATAACTGATGTTATTAATGCTAATTATGTTAATGGAGTCAAGTATAAAGGAAAGTTTCCAGAAAAACGTAAAATTTCACAAGATAATTTCATCATTTTATGTCATGGTCTTCTGGACCTTTTTGCAAATTTTTCATTTTTCTGATGTACTGATGTATTTCATGCACAGTGTGCATAATTCAATTCTTGTGAATCCATTGGATTCATGAACATCTGGTACTTTTCAAAAATCATGGATCAGCTTGTACTTTTTGTGCATATTGAATGTATCTTACAGTGTAAGTAGCTCTTTAATGGGTTTTGAGATCTATTGACATTTTATTCATTATTTTTTGCTTTCATTTTCTAAAGTTTATCCCTTGATGAAATTTTCTGTAGTTCTAGTATTCTTGATAATTTTCTTTATATCTAGTACAGTCAAACTTCTCCAAGTCAAATTTTAAGGGGCCAGCAAAAAAATTTGACTTTGCGAGGTTTTGAATTATATACAGGTTTGAGCTACAATAGAAAGCCCTTTTGTTCTTAAAACTGGGAAAATTGCCCAAAATTGTGAATGATGATATTCTGTGGGTTAAATGGCTTCTTAAATGAGTTGGAATGATGCTGAACTTGAAGGCATGAGTTCATTTGCCCAATGAAGTCTTTCACTTCCTTTAAAATACATCAATTTCTTTTTTATTGTTTTTTTTTCTTTCTTAGGTCAAGACAATAATGGCAAACAGGCCACAGCAAATTTGACTGATGGAGGTTTGAGGGCAAAAGCCTTCAACTTATTAGGGAGGTTTTTAGTTTATTTCTTCTAAGGGGATTCAGATGGGGGCATAAAAAAATTTTAATTAGGGAATTTCAAGTTCTGAAAGTTCACCTGTACTTTTGAATTTGAATTTCTCTAGCCAGTATGATTGTGTCATTTTCATTCTTTTTCATATCCTGGAATCACAAATTTGCATGTTTGTGTGATCTGTTATTTTATTTTTAGAATTTTGCATCATTTTTACCCCAGACTTCACATTTTCTAGGTTCTGTGGATTTCTTGAGAGTTTTAATATACCCATGAAATAGAGTATTTGATGTTAGGCAAGTGGTTATGTATATATTAACTGATTTTTAATGAATAAGCTTTTTCCGCATACCATATAGGCAAACAAATACATTAGTTATTACTCCTAGCTTGAGTAATGTTATACTGTAAAGTACTCCTAAAGGGATTGTCTATCCAACGAATTTGTTTCTGGTCCCCAGCAATTCATTGTATAGAATAGAGATTAGAGAGTTATCTATCCTGCACCTGCATAACGGCAACATTCACTCTTTTGCTAAATAAGGACAAAAATTGCTAAATTTGTTGAAACCACAAATGTGCCATATCCACGAGTTGTCTCCTTCTTTCTTCTTCTCTATTTAATCCCTGAAATCTCCAACCACGCGGTGAGCATTTGGAAATCGCACTCCGGAATGGCGCGGGACATGACGCTTAACATGAAGCAACATTAACAGAACAGAAACATCAGGATACATCACAAGCCTTAAAAATCCAAGCCCAAGGTTGCCCCTTAACGATGATTGGGGAAACGTAGACTTTGAAACACCTACGTTGATTTTCTCGAATTGCTGTAGTGTTTCCCTCTGGAAGTCACCCCAGCGGCCACACATCAGGAGTATAGCGTCATCTATTCAAATTGTTTACAACAGTGAGACTGAGGTCCATTCCTTCAGTTCTGGCTGGTGCTGTGTGCGGGGAAAGTTTGCCCCTAGTGGCATGCAAGGATACCACACATAAATTAAAGAATTTTATACCGGAGCCAGTGTATACCTAATTTAACCTGTAATTGTACCTTTTATTGTAATTCAAGAGTCTCATTGATAAAATTAGCGTTCGAAGTATGCACACAGCTGTTGCTGTGATACAATATATGACCCCGAGTCAAATAATTCTATGAGATTGTCAATTTATCTCTGCAGAGAGTGGCCTGCGTGGGACCTCTGAACGCTCTCGGGCGTTTCTTCCCGCGTCCGATATCACGTTTTGCTAGGCGCAGTAAGTTGTTCTGCGTGAAGGTGGTACGTGATATTGCTTGCTGATAGGTGCATCATCTTTTTGAGCTAACAACACAATCTAAGAAGTAAATTTCCCCCTCCTTAATGGTCTTTGGATATGGCATTGTGTTGTGCGTGACGCAGTTATCTAGCCGATCAATTGATGCTTGAGTACACATTGGAAAGACTTCGTAAATTGAAATTCTCCGTGGAAGTGCGTGCGCCTTACAGTTCTGCGTGTAACTCGCATATTCATCCAACAACTTTTCATGGTCAGCTCACTTTTTCGCTGTCAATTCAGTGTGAAACTATGACCACTCCGTGGTTGTGCTGGTTTTATCCTCTCAGTACTCCGGTGTTCTGAATGACCACGATTTCACTAGCTGTGATGAAAGGCGTTTCTATCGTCACTAGGATTGTTCTTTATCTTCTAGCGAGCTTCGCTTCACCTCAAGTCTGACATTTCGCTATGGCTCAGCCGACTGGTGCCGCCTTGCGAACTCTAGCCATCGAATACAAGGGAATCCAGGAAGAGCCAGTTGAAGGTTTCCGTGTCCGCCTTGTCAACGATGACAACCTTTGCGAATGGGAAGTGGCTATCTTTGGCCCTCCCGATACCTTATATCAAGGAGGCTATTTCAAGGTATGAAGTTTCTTCGATGCTTCGTAATACTGTGACTCGAAATTTATCTTCACAGGCTCATGTAAAATTTCCCCCGGACTATCCATACTCACCGCCAACAGTTCGGTTCCTGACGAAAGTTTGGCACCCAAACGTCTATGAGGTGCGTTGTTGCTTTGAAGCTGGATTAGCTCAATTTTCATCTCATGTTTTCTTCTTGGCTTCTTCGTGACAGAATGGTGACCTGTGCATCTCAATTCTGCATCCACCTGTCGACGATCCACAGAGTGGAGAATTACCGTGTGAACGGTGGAATCCTACACAAACCGTTAGGTGAGCGTGTCGACTGAATTACTTCGTTCAACCTTTGTTGTTACTGCTTTTTTGTTCCTACACCGCGTTCTCTGCCCGAGAAATGTAAATAAATACGTGTGTGAATCGTCCGTTCCTTTTTCCCGTAGGACTATACTGCTTAGTGTCATTTCTCTGCTCAACGAGCCGAACACCTTCAGCCCTGCTAACGTCGATGCAAGTGTAATGTATCGCCGCTGGCGTGACTCGAAAGGAAAAGACAAGGAGTACGAGAAAATAATCAGGTTTGTTTTGAATTCAACTTTTAACAAACATCGTTAAGAGGCTGAACATTTGCATTCAGGAAACAAGTTGCCTCTTCCCGTCTGGAGGCCGAAAAAGATGGCGTGATCGTACCCATGACCCGAGAAGACTATTGTGTGAAGACGAAAGCTCCAGCTGGAAACGCACTCGGTTCTGGAGGTAGCGGTGGTGGTGGAGGTGGTGCTGATCAGGTCGACGAGCTCACGGATCTTTATGATGATGACTACGATCAAGACGAAGATGAGGAAGATGAAGATTTCGAGGACGAGGAAGCAGAAGATGACCACCATCCTGTCCAATCCTGGGTCCTTCAAGGCGTCGACTCCGGAAACGATGAATCATGATAGCATCGTTGACATCTCTTTCTTACGCCTTATTTATGATTTCTGTCAGTCGGTTTGCGAGCAATCAATTATTCTCAGATATTCAAATTTTTATCAACTTGAGCCCATAAATCAACATTCCAATTTTAGATTGGGCTGTTTGAGGTAACTAAAGCCAATAAAAGGATCACCTGTAACCTAAGAGGCAGGTGATTTAAAGTGCGTTTCCTGAATGTTCCACATCGAAGTTCACGTTGCTTTCTGCCACACAGCCAATAGGTGGTTAGCTTCGCGATCCGTCTATCGTTAACGAATGGTTGAAGGCTTGGTTTATTTTAGTGATATAGAACGATTTGGTTGAGCCGCTGTTCGCAGTCCTTCGGTTGTGGCGGCTACAAGTTATGCTTAAGACAGCTGTACAAAGGCATCTACGAGACCTCGTGAAAATTATCTCGTGGTTTCTTGTCAAGAAGCTCACTTAACGGTGGATATGTTTGATATCTTAGAAGTCTTGTAATTTCTTATACTGTATTGGTTGTCAGTGACTGCCATTGTCCAACTTCACGGGTGATGAGGCATAAGCTGACCATCCTTTTTAGCGAGGAAAATCCGGTGCATTTTGGACTACCACCGAGTAACGGTTTTAACAACTTGGCTGAGCCATTTGCGGAATATTTCTTGTGTCGAATTTCTTTGGCTGTGTGGCACGAGAAAGCTATCTGATTTGAAGAGTTTCGTGCCAGCTTGCGAATGTGCGCCGAGAAATCACGATCTGGAGTGCTTGTTTTGTATGCATTGGAATGTGAGTTCTTGTATACCTAGTTCCCTACGCCGCTCGTCAACCAACAATCCCGCGTGTAATTTTTCCCCCATTTTATTGAAACATTTTCTGGTATTTCTTCTACCCAATATTGTTCCTGGAAATTTGTTTCGAACATATGATTTTGCGTTATTCTTGGGGACACGCGTATTGATCCGTCGAATCGCGGTTTTTACGCTGTTCTTTCGTGAGTGTCACAATCTCGACTTTCATTGTAGTGTATCCTATTATTAATATATTCCTAACCTTGAGCTTCAATCTCGGAAGTGTCGTGCGAGCTGCCAATGCAAGAGAACATGGAATATTCTTCTAGCCTGTGTGAAGGTCTGAGATACATTGCGTAGAGTATGTGGATTTCACAGCGTTGGAAAATGTTAGATGTCGATGGAATGTTTTTGTCAGCTTCCCGAGAAAACTAATTGTTTTATTATTCAGATGGAAAACTTTCGAAGTGCCGTGTTCTAGTACTATCGCATACTGGATGTGTGTTGAGACGATATTAAATCAAGTCGTGCGGATTGAATTATAAGTGTGAGGAAGTCTATGTGCAGATCGGAAGGAAAATAAAACTTTTAAAATTTTATTTAGTGTAAAGTTGCGAAGTTCGATTTTTCTTGGATCAAGTCCGCAGAGTTTTCATTTGTGCGCCGAACCTTAAGGCATCTTGAAAAGGTGGATATCATTTGAACTTCAAAAACTTTGTACGTTCGTCTCTTCTTTTAATTTAAAATTCCGGTACATCCTCCTCTTCTGAATTTCAAGTGGAATGATTTTGTTTTCGCAGATGAACGATTCGGTGCAATGTGATTTGTGAGCCGCGCTGAGTTGCTGTAAAATCACCCGAAGACGTTTCGAAAGCTTTTTTCTTCAGGAAAAGGAATTTAGACTGATGAACTCGACGTTTAGTGAGTATGGAGGCTTTGCGTTGCATTATTCGTATGTCTTGCTGTAAAATATGAGGAAGCTTGATCTTGTGGTCTGAGGGGAAATACCTAGAATTTCGCAATCTTTCAAGACTTGTGTCTTTCCCTGATTATTCATTTCAGTTGATGCTTTTCATACCAGATGTCTCGCAATTTGAAGTGCGATTTTCCAACTCACCGCGTGATTGGAATCGGCGAATTTCAGAGATCGTATACTTGGGGAAACCCGTGAATATTGCAGTGATGAGGGTCGAGGTGACTCGGCATTCCGGTAAAAAAAAATCTTGGATGAATACAGCAGTTTTTGAATTACCTTTTTGGGATCTTCAACCTTGTGATTTTACTCTTCGCTATTAATCAGATTTTACACGCACATTGGAAAATTTTTTGGGCTCGACTCCGTCAAAAATTCCCTACGCTGATCTTTTATGTCATTCAATGTGAACGCTTTTTGTAAAATTAGATTGTCAAATATACTTATTCATGGAGAGGGAAATCTGGCAAATGCCTGATCGATTTGTTCAAAAGATCCGAAGTCCTGCATTGGAATTTTGGAGATTTTTTTCTCCCTCCGTTTTCTGAGACTCGTGATAGTATCAGATAGTGAATTCGATGATTAATTTCCCTACCCACTCCTTAGCTTAAAACGTGTAAAAGGTGTCCGACGTCCACAGCGCCGGTGTAATGGCTCAAGTACAAACGTTTGCCCAAGAGAAATCGATGCAAGCTGATTCCAGCATTTCTGGAGGCCACATTCAGAAAATTCCGTTGCACCTCTGAGGGGGGAAGAGAATTCGCAGTCGGTTCTTCTGGTACTGTATCTCAGAATGGGAGTTTTTACCGAGAAATAACCCCACTTTGAAATTCCTCCTATGATGCAGAGCACTGTACTGTACGTGCGATTGAAGCGGGAGGAAGGCGAAAACGAATGCTTAAATATGTATCAGTGTTCGTAAGCTCTTGGAGCACAAATTTATCTTGTTCGAAGTCCTAGATGTTCTTATGTCTGGGAGACTCATAAAAGAATTTCGTGATTATGTTTTTGACGCGAGTGATTTCCACGAGAAGAATATGGGAAGTGACACGTCGAAAATAGGTTTTCTGCAGCATAAATTTCCGAAGACGTTTAGTGTAAACTGAGAAGTTTGGACCGTTGATCACACGTTGGACTGAGAGTACTGTAATTTACAGAATTAATTGCATATTATGCAGTAGTTACTGCCACGAATCAATAATTACTGTGATTTACGTTCGACAAATCGCCCAAACTTTTCTTGAACTCTCTCCATCATTGCTACAAGCATTGAATACAGCAGTGGTGTCGGATGAAATGAGTCGGTCGACGAACCATGTGTTGAATTTCCACTTTTTCTTTACGCCAAGTTGGCCTAAGCATTCCATACAATGTAATTCTCACTCTAGGTTGAAGGAATGAAGTTGAATTATATGATGAGCTAACTTGTTGCGGTCGAATCTGATGGGGAAAACTTATTTCTATTAAGCCATAATTTCTTTTTCGCGAAATTGACGGCCGTTTGCCTTGCCAGTGTAGCTTTTATTAAAATTACATCCGAATTTGTCCACAACGATGTTCACAAGTTTTTTCGATCTTCCGTCTTTCCTTTTAGGATTCTTGGTGGATGGATAACATTGGAGATAATTTTACGAAGTAATAGTTTATAATTTCCGATTTTTCTTCCCCCATGTAAGTAAAACTAGATACTTGTCCACCTAATGAAGTACTGTATGATGTAACAGTCACGCTTGCATATTTTATGAAATTTCAGGCAAGCTAGGTGATGTCAAAGTTATATTGTATGTCGTCTTCGTGACGTTGGATCACATTGGGAAACGTATGTGTTGGTAGAACATTCCGGCCATGTTTGTACGTTACTATTTGTGCCGGCTTTGAGTTCGTCCTGAAATATCAATTGGTAAGCAAGGATTTGTTGGGGCTGCAGGCTGAAATTAAAGAAAATCCTGACCAGGTTCTCGTCGTCTTATTGAACCCATCATGGTACCCAAATCACTCATTTTCAAAGCACTAAGAAATACTGATGAAATGTTTAAACCATGTCTATGAGTTGTTAGGTTATGTTCCATAAACTAATCTTAGAATTCGTTGCCCTTGAAAATAATGTACGAAAGAGTTGTCAGACATCCAAAAATTATCCTACGGATCGTTTTCGAGAGTTTCGCCGAAGAGTTCCGTTGATCTAAATTATGAGGGGAAATTGCGGGACATTCCCAATACTGAGCAGTTCTTCAACTCCCATTTAAACCTTCGGTACAGTATTAACACTCATGTGCATCGAATCCTTGAGAAACGAAGTGTTCGCCTAGTCAGTGTTCAGCGTAAATGTCACGAGTGCAGGCTCATTTCATTAATATGGCAATTAAAGATGTCATTTTTACAACAGCCAAGTACAGTACTTCACTAATTGTAAATCTTCGAGGTTTCTAGCTTCATAGTATGTTGAAAATTTATATAGTTATCTCAATTTTTTTTATGAGATGAACGATCATGCAAGTTTTGTTTTCAATTTTTTTCTAGGGTTGTAGAGTAATGAATGTGTATGTAGGAATACCCAACGGAGGACAAAGAAAATAATTGCGATTATGCATGCAAGGTTGCCGTTTAGATTTTCAATATGTTTCTGTATCATTCTTGTAATGACCGAGATTGTGTAAACGGAATTACTGGTTAAAAAAAAAAAGTTCAGAGATAATATTCCGAGGAATTCGAAGCTTTCGATTAAAACGAAGCCTTTTCAAGTCCTTCCGGAGCGATCGCAAACTTTTGTCTAGCCCAACTTATCCCCAACGTAAACGTCGCAGAAAAGTGATGGATGCATAAACTGTACGTGTAAAAGCCATCGCAAAATGATTCATGCTTGTGTTAAATGCCGCTATTTTTCCAGAATTTCGTGAACGAGTTCGTAAGCGTTCATCAATGGGGAACTGCAGTCGTTCACTTATGTGTACTTTATTTCCATCGAGTTGTTCATTGAATCGATTTGCAAAGCTGAAACCATGGGTCCCTAAAAAGTTAAATATACTAAGCAGATGGGGAAATATTGATGCTTATTGACATATTTTTTCTTGCTTCCTGTTCCTTGTGCGACAAAATTAAGCAAAATCTTGTTCTTCAATCGTGGTGTTTCTTGTTCAGAAGTCGTCTGTTCGCGAGTGATAAACGACGAAGTACGCACTGATCTAGAATGGTGAGAGGAAAAGCAACTTTGTAAGCAGAATACGTTTTTCTAACTCCTTGTTCGATTCGACATGCGTTCTGTGTTTCACCAGAAGGGTAGATCGGGTTGTTTCGGAAATCTGAGCTTGGTGCAATGTTTAAAAAAAACCCTATTTTCAGTCACGGTGCCGTACGTACTCGCGCCCTTTCATCTTCCGATGTTTCAAGGGAATTCGCAGATGTAGTCGAAAATGTTAGTGCAGACTTTGTCCCACATTTCACACACTTGCGGTACCTTCGAGATGACTTTTAGACGTACACAGTCCCACTCCCCTAAGGCAAGTTCATTTGGCTCAACGGCGCCCCAGATTTCAAAAGATTGCGTTTTCAATTCAGCCTTGAGCCCGCCTGAATAGTGGACCATTGGAGGGGTCGCTGTGGTTTTGATAGCCGCTCCAATCCAAACATCTGTGTACACTGACGAAGCTGGGTCTTTTTACGAGCTCTTAGATGGCAAATGTACAATGCAACACTCACATCTCTCAACCATGTAGGTGCAAACGAAGTCTCGCTTTCCGGGCCCGGTTATATCCACAAGTATTCCTCCCAGCCCGATACACGAGCTGTTCGCGTTCATCCATGTCTTGTCCGTTGTGAAGTATTTAAAATTTGCTGCCGAGTACGCTGTTCAAGTACAGGAAAGCCAGATTTATATCAGTTTTAATTTTTACGTGGCGGCAAATTTCCGATCATAATCCATTTTAATAACTTCTGTACAGTACTACATTGTTCTTTTAGTTGTAATCAACCTTGCAAGTGTTGTAACAAACTGACAACTATGGCACTACGGAGAAAAAAGTATTCCTTTATTAAATTGTAGGTACGTTCGCATATCTGCGCTTCAAACCCTTGGGTTTCTGTTTCTTATCCGGATCATTAGTTGAAATTTTGACCGTAATACAGTATTTCGAATATCACACGCGTCATTGATTGTTCTTTCGATTCTAGATCTCGTGTTCTTTCGATTCTAAATCGGAGGACAAATGGAGATTATATCTTTCGGGAAAATTTGCTAGCCTAAACAGTAGGTTATCAATTCAGTATTTTAAAACTGGTCGTACTTGGTGTTGTAGTCATCGAGGTAGTAGTTGTAGTAACTGTACTGGTCGTAGTTGAGCTTTGCATTGTTGTGAAGGGTGTACTTGTAGTTGTGGAAGCAGTAGTAGTTGCTGTTTGCTGCGTTGTTGGCTCAGGCGTGGTTGTCAAAGTTGACGTGGATGTTGGTGAAGTGACCGGAGGTGGTGTGGTCGTAGTTGTTGATTGGCTGGTTGAGGCGAATGGCGTCGTTTGAGTCTCCTCTGTAATCGTCGATATGGTTTCAGTTTGCTCCGAAGCAGCGTCAGTTCCTAGTGTTATCTGACTCGTTGTCGTGGACTCAGGTTTGGTCGTTGGATCTTCTGTCATCGCTGTCGAGGGTGTTGCTGCTTGTTGTTCCGTTGCCGTACTTTGATTTGTAATAGTTACAGTGGTAGATTGACTAGGAATAGTTGTTTGCATTGGTGTCTTATTTTCAGTTGTAGCAGTCGGAGCGGTAGTTTGACTTGAAGTACTTGTTGAATCCGTATAAGTTGATGTAGTCGTTGAGGTGGTACTTTCTTGAGTATTGGACGTAGTTAGCATTTGTAGGGTTGTTTGGCCTTTCGTGTTGGCTTGAACCGGAGTAGCTGATGACAACATCGGGTCATTTGGTGTAGCTGTTGATGTGGTAACTACTGTTCCTGTTGATACTACTGTTGGCGTTTGGGAGGTTTGTTCCGTTGTTCCAATGGAAGTTTCTGTGTTTGAAAGGAACTGGATTATTTTAAATAGGCAATTTAATCGTATACTAGACGAATCACGCACACGTGATTATTTCTGAGAGTTTTCATATTTTCCGAAGATAAATGGGGTTCATCATCGACTACGATCTGTGACCGGTTCCTAGAAAGGTAGGGAAACCATTTTTGCGTTTTCTCCATAAAACTTATGCCTTCCGTCCAGAAAATGTAATCTGGAAGACAATGATTGTTGATGAGCATGAATGATAAAGGAAGACACATTGCGGGACTTCTGGAAAGCATATCTGTCCTAATTGCCTGTTGCATTAGTGGATGGATTACTTCAGATTTTCCTCAAGAAATCTAGCATTGTCCTCTCCCTAGCGTTGACTTGTGGGGATTACGTGATTTTTTTTTTTTTTTACTGTCAAGCTCTCCCACCGTCTATTGACCAAGAAAGAATTACTGCATTCCCCTTTTCGTGGGCCTATTCGCGCTTGAATCTCCTAGAAACTTACTGTAAATGGATTTTAATTTCAGATCACATCTATTGTCTATTCGTAGAAGTCTTACGAAGGCGAAGAATTTTCGAGGGTTGCACTTTTTTTTGTAGTCGTAAATTTTGGTGGATACTCACGAGAGATTGTAGTTTGTGCTGTGCTGGTTGGCGCTGAAGTTGAAATGGATATGTTAGAATCCTGAGCAACGTAAAGTTGCTGGTCCAAGATTATCCCCGTGGCATCTGTCATAGACAGAATAGGCTTGCACCATGTTCTATTGGCCAAGATGTTCAATGTAAAGAATGCTTGACAGGAAGGAGTCTGCATGCAAACAGCTCCACATGCCACTTTTGACTCAACAACGACGGGATCGCGAGCAGAAAGAATCTGTATTTGCTGATAGCGACGCTGGTATCGCTTTTCCCCTGCGGAAATCCCCGACACGGAAATAGCGACTGTTTCGAGGAGAGCGACCAACAAAATCGAATTCGTCAGGTACATTATTCGCTGAATTGAACGCGTCTTGTGTAGATCAGAGAACGTTGTATTTGTTCCGGGTTTGCGCAGCAGATCCGCGATCAACTCCTGACTTCTGCAATCTTTTAGACCATGTTTCTAGGGATCCTGAGGCGATCGATGATAGCACCAATAATGGCAAATTATTAAATTATATTAAATGAGAAGTTTTTCGCAACATATTGCACTGATTGGTTTGCGTCACTCGGTGAAATTGTTCATGAAATGCTATTGGGCCAGTTCTCGTCCGACGTCGAATCGACTCCTGTGTAGTAAACGCAATGCATTTTAAGTTCTTCTGATCAAATAGCGAAGTTTTGTCGACGAGGTGCACGCAAGATTAGAAGTTCTTCGAATGCCACGTAAGGTTACCGTATTTTCGTGTGTCAACACGCATCGCTGAAGGCGTATTTTATCGCCATTGATCGTTCTTCACTCGCGAACAAGTTGTGATTGGATTCATAAATCCTGTGGGACTAGGCGGAGGGATTATTTTCATCTAATCCTATTTTGAATCCTTCCGAAGTTCCTGACGATAAATTCGAGCCGCGGGAAATCGCACTCAGTGGATAAATATTGCTCCTCTCCGTTGAATGTTGACTCATCCGCCTGTGAATCTTACGCAATGGTTTCATCCCTAGGGCTTATGCGGAAAGTTTACCCTGCATCCATTAGCCGGTGTCTCGAATTTTGGAGTTTTGCGTGCTCGTCAAAGCCAATTTATGTACTCCTGGTGAGGAGTTGGATAAGAATATATTGTACAGTACAGTAATTCCGTCTTGTGTCGTGGAAGTTCGGAAGTTTTATAATCTCCGTTTTTCCCCTCTCTCTGAAACTTTCTTGAGTAAATTCTATGAGAAAAGTCCCATGCCCGAACGAATTCAACGTGTGCTTCGTGATGGCAGTTTGTCATGCCGCCGGGATCGCGTATTGTACTAAGGAGATACATTTCGCGTATTCATGTTGGGTTCGATGACTCAAGGGCGAGTTGAGATGGATTTCTGCTCGCGTACTTCCCAGTCCTGTCTGTAGTTGCGTAAAAAATCTGCCTATGATGTCCGTCAGTTGCTTTCGAGACTTCGTGGGTTTCTGAACGGCCGTTTTGAAAATATTTTGCCATATTTCTCATGTTCCGTGCCGTCATGCGTGGTGTTCATGGGAGTGCGCGTAGATCGAAGCGAACTAACTCCTAGCTTGTAATTGCTTCGAGTTGAGAGGTGCTCCCTTGAAGCGGAGTGACTTCCATTTTATTGTAGACGTGCACCGGGCAATCGAGCACGAAAGGTAAAAGGTGGATTTATTCAAGTACTGATGCTTGTGGTCATCGGATGACTCCTTGTGCTGTGGTGCATCGATGGGGTGCGGTGCATTTCTTCACCCTGTTGTTGTATGCGTGCGGTGCATGAAATGAAACGGGAAGTAAGGTTATAATATTGCGCCCTTCTCTCTCGTTGCAGTCTACAGTGTTATCCCTTGCCGGAGTTTGAAGTGTGCGTGCGTCCCTGTAGAGTATTATTGGAGGGACGGAAAGGGAGGTGCATTGGGGTGCAAGTCGTGTGCACCGGCACCAGCTGATTGGAGAGTGTCTCGGCTCGGCTCTGGCTGCGTTGAGCCTACGCATGCCTGCTTTTACCAGGAAGCATGATCACCTGATCCGCCCGTCGCCACAGTGGATGCATTGCAACTACCTGTGATACGCCATTTGATCATTGTCGAGTTCTGTCGGACTTACATGAATGGTGCTCAGGTGCCCCAGCAGTGCATAGTTCGATAAATGGGAGAGAAAGGAACCGCCCGAGACGCGTACCGCGTTGAAGCTGTGTTCTGCGAGCGATTTCCTTCCCTATTGTGCATCGTTTAGTCGCACTTGTTGCTCTCCGTACTGAATATTCTATTCGAATGATCTAAAAGTTCTTCATCCGTTTCTATCGCAGGCTGAAATTCTTCGCACGTCGCGAAGTTTGTTGATACTGTTGCCGAGATCGAGTCGAGTTCGGTGAGTGTTGAGCCAGTTTCGCTCCGGTGCTTTGCTTTTGTCCTGCTTGACCGATACCCGGTTGTTCGCAGGATCCGCGTGTGCTCTCGAGTGCTTTGATACTTTTCAAGATATTCATCGTTTCCACTTGAACGAAAGCCCTTTTTAAACATGTTGCGTTTGACACGTTCTTTTCTTCAGTCTCCCTTGAGGGCTTCCACGGAAATTCTACAGACTATTCGAAGCATGTCGTCAGTGAGTTCGCCTTTCTCGATTCCATTGACTGAAGTCTTACGGCCATCTTCTATTTGTTCCAGGTTGGACAAGCGATCCCAGATGCAACCCTTTTCGAGAACAGTCCAGGGAATAAGGTGAATGTGAAGGAACTATGCAAGGGCAAGAAAGCTATCATCTTTGGAGTTCCTGGCGCATTTACCCCCGGTTGTTCTAAGGTTAGTTGAATAATGATTTCTGGTGCGTCGTTGCGTTCATTTTATTATCGTTTCCTCGTTGATGTTTCATGCAGACTCATCTCCCGGGATACGTAAAAGGACATGATGCGCTCGTGGCGAAAGGCATTAAGGAAGTCATCTGCGTGGCAGTGAACGATCCATTCGTCATGGAAGCCTGGGGAAAGGAGCACGGTGCAGATGGGAAGGTTCGCATGTTGGCTGACACTCAGGGGAAGTTCACGAAAGCTCTTGGACTTGATTTGGATATGTCGGAAGTCTTAGGAAACGTTCGCTGCAAGAGATTTTCCATGGTTGTGGACGATGGCATCATCAAAGAGCTCAACGTCGAGCCGGACGGGACGGGCTTGAGCTGTTCGTTGGCAGAACACATTAAAGCCTAAATTTCCTGTGACATCGTACAAGTCTTGCTTCGCTTTATTGAATCATAGCTATTATTGTTGCGGGAAAAGAAATTATACTGATTAGAAGCCGTCTGGCATCTTTTGGATGATATTGTGCTTCGTGAAGCTCCCACGCTGATTTTTCTATTTTTACCCACCTGCAGGATTCTGATTTCCATGAGCTTAAGTTTACGGATTCCGTTATAAGGTCTGAACTGCCTGGCTGCCCCTCAGTACGTTCCAGAGCTTCCTTTAAGTCCGAAATATTTCTGGTCTGGTTGAATTGTGAGTTTTCCTTTTTTGCCTGCCTTAAGCCACGAAATTCGACTCTGTTTTTTGTAGGGCAGCTTACATTGACACAAGTCTTCCTGATAAGAAGTTGGCTAGTGGCATTTGATCCTATACGTCAATCCATGGATAAGGCTTAGGATCATCGGCCCTGGTGACGCCTGCGTTAGCACTTGCCTGCTTCCTGACAGTATGGAAAACTCCGTAATGAACCGAGGATTAGTTTCTCGGAACCTTGATCAGTTTTCTGAGAAGGAAGTTCAATCTAGTGATGTATTTGTCCAAGCGGCCGAAGTGGATCCGCAGGAAGCCCTTAAGTGCCAATCTGTTCAAAGTATCAAGCATCGTGGCGACGATTTAAACCAAGATGCCAACAAAATTAACGTAGTCGACCGGGATGTAACAATAGCTTTGGAAAAAAATGTGATGAAGCATCTTACGGAATCTCTTGATGCTGACACTGGCTGTCGTGGTGACGAAAGTTCAATTGAAAAGCACAACCAGAACTTGCAAAGAATTGTAGATACTCTGATGAAACGGGAGCCAGATATGCGAAGTCTGTGTTGGCGTCACGCTGCGGGTGATGGAGGTAAAGGTGCTCAGGATTCGACGGGATTCCGTGTAGCTGAGAAACGCGATGTCCGCGTCATGGGAATTGCCTGCAGTCCCCAGTACGCACTCTGTGCTGTCGAGAAAATTGGATTCAGAGCAATTTCATTCGACGGTGACTCCAATTTTGAAGGTGCTATTCCAGTTCGTTTTTCGAGAGTATTGAAAAAGCACATCGAATTTGAAATTACAACTACCTATGTCGTTTTTGATCTGCCTCACCTGAGTGTTTTCTTTTCTTTTGTAGGTCAGAACAGAGAAGAGCCGTTCATTCACTTGAGAAGCCTGTTGCCAAGCCGTAAGAATCGTAACATGGTACATGCTATTCCTGGTGAACCTGGCGCTCTTCAGGATGCGTTCAAATCATCTGACAGTGTTCATTGTAACATTCGTGGATTTTCGTACGCGTGCTCAAATCGTGATTGTCCATGTCAAATTCATGAATCGTACGCCAGGGTTGACGCCATTGAGCTAAGTGTGGGCATTTCCGATATTTACGATGATATCGCCACCGAGCTGATTAACCGGAGGAAGGTTAATGCTTGTAGTAACATACGCTCTGTAATTTTAGAAGATAACGATGTCCCAGACTTGAATCGATTCTGTGAAAATCGTGGATTATTGGACCCTGTGCCCGAAGTCTGCTGCTCTGATCAGGTTGTCCCGCCCAGCAAAGTGAAAGATTTGGAGTCCAAACGAAGCGCGCCGTTGCCTGAAGAAGATCAGGTGGTTCCTGACGACGTGGATTAAGCTTTATTTTACCTCGTTATTCCGGCGACTAACCGCGTGAGATAGAAATTGCTCGATCAGTGGAATTCTCGTGAACTTACGAGAGAAATCAGGATTGCTGAAGACGCTTTGTAGGTGGATGCACTGTTCTAACTCTCTCAAGTCGAGAAGCCATTTATTTTTTCTTCATGAATGTGATTCGTGTTCGCTCTTGACGTACATTCGATTAGCTGTTGAATATTCCCACGGCATACGTTGAGCTTCATGGGCGTAGTCTGTGTCTTAGAGGAACTTCGTGTTGACGTTAGCGCCTTTCGATGTGCTGTGTTGAATGTGTGACGTCGGAAGCATGTGTAAACTCTACATACTGTTTCACGTTCCCGATTCTCTCCCCATCCCAGGATCGCACGCTGAGATATGTTTGGTGTGATTCAGATGTATATCGCCTATTTATTTATTAATGCCATGTAATCTTCAAGTTTTGTGGCAGTTTGTTTTGACTGTGTTCGTGAGGGCATCTGGCTGTGTGAAAGCTTCTTCCCGTTCCCCCGATGAATTGACTAGTTAAGCGAGTTTGGTGTCTTGTGCAGTCAACTTGAATGTTAGGCTGTATCGTTGATTACGGCAAGATCTCAGTGGTTTCGTTTTCAGACTTGGAAGTTTGGTTCTGTTTTGCCGTTGGTTGCTCAAAGCGACTTGAGTTCACATATTATTCAAACTTCACGGGGCCACATAGTTTTTCTTTCGATATCTTGAAGCTATGACGGATGCGTCAAGGTTTGCGCATAACTTTTCAGAGCTTGTAATTGTTTTCCTATGGTTCCCATTCAGTTGCGGTGATTTTTGAAATAGCTTTTTTCTAGCGTTGGGAATATGTTCTGAAATTCCGGAATAAACAGCTTTTAATCTTTGTGAATGAACGGGAAATGATCAATTGTAAAATCCACCGTATCCTTCTGGGTCATAAGCAGAAAAGGTGGATCTGCTGATAAATTTCCAAGACACGATCTGTGTTCTAAGTCAAAATGGTTGTGGGTAAACCATTTTTAAAACTGTTCGAGGGATGCGCGCGAATGCACCGAGGCTACCTCAAAACAAATGCAAGCAGAGTTGAAAACTTTTGAGCCAACCTTGACGTTTCTGCGTCGGGCATATCAGTCGCAGAAAAGAGACTATTGGGCGTAAGCGAGATTTCTGTTTCCTTTTTAGAGTACCCCGGCGCAATCTTGTATTTGGAATTACGTGGTTCGTGGAAAATGTGTGATATTTCTTGTTGTTAGACGTGATGCCTGCGTATTCCTCGCATGCATTCATTTTCTCTGGGTAATGCAGGAATTCCTTCGAGGAAACGATAATTGAAGTACCTGGGGTTCTGATTGTGCTGATAGGTCTGATGACTGAAGCCACGTGCCCAAGAATCCAATCAGATCTCTAATAGTTTGATCGGTTCCACGTCAATCCTGTTGACGGAGTCAAAGATTTGCTTTATGGCTTCTGCGGTGGCGCGAGCGCTTTGCGGTACGATTTACCCGATTGCTGAAGCACTTGCTTCGGACGACTACCGTTCCATGCTTCCGGATGACTTTTTGTTGTGGAGGGAGAAATAAAACCTTAGCGCCGCATATTTCGTGTTTGATTCTTGGCCGTTTTCTACTCAATTTGCAGACGCTTCTATTTCCTAGCGGGAATGTAGAGTTTCAGATTACTTGTTCATTTTGCGACGAACGATTGCGATTCCTTATTTCGTCAGCAAAAATTTAATCGCCCTTTTTCTGGAGTTCAGATTGGATTATCACGAAACAATAAATGAAAAGATCAACCTCGTTCCCGTGTGATGACTTTTGGCTAACCGCCCAAGAAAGCCTGGCGGGAGGTATAAACCAGGAATTCTAGGAGTGATGACTCCTAATAAAGGCTGGATCTGCATGAAGATGTATGCTCATTTTTGAAGGGATTTTTCCTTTAAAAAAGGAACATTTCTTGGAACAAGCATACATTTGCATTCGTTTTTCCCTACGCTGTTTCTTTTTTTTTAAAGAAAACAAGGTCTCGCTTCTGAAATTGTCTAGCTCCTTCAATCATGGGGGCAGAAAAAAAGCCAAGAGAATAATAACATGAATTGCCCTTCAAAAAGTGCAATACATTCCTAGGAGAGCAATGGAAACATGGTTCATAGTTATCTCTCGATTTGTTTGAAATCCAGACCATATTTTCCCGAATTTCTCATACCGTGTATTTAGAAACTCATTTTTACATTGATTTGCGTCTTACAAAAGAGAAAAACTGTAGTGCATGACTAAAATGAGCAATGACTTCGTATTACGCGTGGAATTGTGCGTATGAGTCACGTCCAAATTGAGAATACAGTACTGTACCTGTTGATGAATCACTTGGGATGGAATGTATGGACACCTTGGTATCAGTTGGAAGGATGTGTTGATTTTATTGCAGGCGAACCTTCCACGCTGGCGCAGCGCTCGGGTGCTGGTATGGCATTGATTCGAAATGCTTTCTGCATGCAGTTTAGTTATGGTCTTGTTGTATTTTTGTGAAAATTTATAATAATTTTTTTCCAGATGGGAAGCATTTTTTCCTGCAGCTTAGCATGTTCGTGTTTCTTACGTAAAGTTTACAAGATTTTTGTTTTGTGGCACACTTACGTTTAGAAATGAAAATTTTCAAGCGATGTTAAGATCTCAGCTGGCATTTCTCTTGTAGTTCGCTAAATTTTAAAAACAGTTCATCATAACAAACTACCCTGAAACGGGTATAGATCGCCGCTAAAACCTTAGTACGAATGTTACCGGCTCATATATATTGGCCCAACTCCAAGCGAGGCGTCGTTACGGGAAGAAAAAAATCACAAAAGTCTTGGGGAATAAATTTTAAACTCATTTCTTAGTCATCAATAATGATATTACCATTCTCTCTGCAACATGAGAAAGAATATTTATCTCAAGTATCATCAACAAAAACCTCATCAGACAAAGTTTGCTCCTCAGTAAACGATTTCAAAAAATTGAAAATAACTTCCTAATTATTTCATGATGGCCAAGAGTTTTCTCGCAGTCTCAACTCTCAACATATTGCTCAAAAAAGGAAAGATGAGAAGGTTTTATTCATTAAACATTTACATTTGTTCAGCTGCTGCTGTTGTGTTATTTCGGAAAACCAACTTAATGTAATATATGATAAATGATCGAAAAGATGTATGAAGATAAGTAATTTTTGTAGCATGGCTCCTCTTAAACATCTTATTTACTTTAATTTTCAATCGTGAATGTTATTCAAAGAGTTTTCCATGTTGGGCATGAAAACTGCAGATTCCATATAGTTCTCGCTTATGAATTGTACCTCATGCACAGTATTAAAAAATGTATGGTTCATGCAGCCCGCAATGTTTTGTTGATCAAAAGAACATTGCACTGGATAATTCTAAATATTTTATTAGATTGTAAATTTAAATAAATATGTTACCTTGACCTACATTACTAAATTAGCTGAGCATTGGACCTAAGGAATAACTATATTTTCTGTACATCTTGGTAAGTGCTGCTGGAATATGGGCCACACTGTTGGCGGATATTCTGTGACGAAGTTTTTCTTTCATGTGCAGAACTTTCGCGTCCATTTCTTCAGATTTGGAGATAATTAATTTTTCCAAGTATTTATTTATTGTTGCTTCCCATTTTTTGCGGTTGATCTTTATTTTTGAATGCCTCAGACCTATAAGACGATCAACTTGGCTGGCTGGGGCAAGAGATCACAGTAACTTTCGGGAGTGAGTCAAATGTGTGCCATGCGGAAAAGTTTGTGGACTACTGTAGCTTATCGTGGGAAAGGGAAAATCTCGAGTAACGCTGACGCTTGCAGAGCTGAAAGTGTATGGGGTTGAATACTTCGTGTGACTTCACCCGCTGTGGGCAAGTCGGGATACATGGGGGAATAATACGCAGTCTCTTTGTCTCTCCAATGTTGATCATTTCCGTCCCGCATACTCATGCGCCATGATGTCCGCTTTGGTCACTTTATTTTTCCACTTAACCGTTTCGTTTCATTTTTCGACCTCACGAAGCGTCGTTTCTTTTCCGCGGTGGAGTTATGATGGACGCTCAAAACCGCTCTTCCATGCCAAGTTGTTGCTCTCTTTCCCTCCGCGCTTGTTTCCTATATTTCTCTCCGTGTTTGCGTCCTCCATTCCCGCCAGCGCGTTTCTTCGGACCGCGTAGATTATGCGTGGGTCTCCACATGCGCATAGGATTATTTCGGAGGTGTCATGATCTGTGACGGAAGCCGAATCCGGTATTTCGGTTGCCGGCTGCCCGGAAAATGCCCGTTTTCAATCAGGCTCTCTCTTGTGTCGACCTCGAGCTGACGGTTGCTGCAGTATCACTTGCGTGCACGCTTCACCGTAGTGCGTTGTCCGTGCCGTTTCATGACTTTGTTTGTTGTGTTCCTTTATTCGGTAGTGCCAGTGATTGAGATCGTGACGGTTGCACAAGGATGCGCTGCGTGATTGAGAACTTGTGCAAGGGGGCCTCGGAACCCGACTTGGGCGGGTCGTCCTTTTCCTGCTTCGGAGGCTGGTGAATACCCGTACTTGTTAATTAGCTGTTCTTCTACTCTCCTGCACTCTTGCTTTGCCCTCCTTCTCAGACTAAAGCTCTTATAGTTTCGCCTGGCGTATTAGGCACACTTCGTGAACGAAGAAGAATGAAGTTGTCGAAGGACTTAAATGCGAGAGATTCGAGAATAGGCCGCAGTGACTACAGGGTGGTGCGGCCTATCATCTTTCATCATATGGGCGAAGAAAGATCAAGTCTGGGGTACTGGGGAAAATACACGAGAAATCCTTCCGCGAAGTAAGAACACACAAGCGATTTTCCATCCTTTTAGTCGATTTCCATTGGTTTTATTGTATACTGGTGTACTGCATAACGAAATGCTCCTAGTATTGCATGTATACTGAAGTTAACTGTGTATTGTTTGAATACTTTTTCAATCAACAGACAAATTAAAATTTCCTGTTCCATGCTTCGGGCATATTTCAACAGATCATTATACGGGGTTGATTCCCGCGGTAAATTGCCCTTGAAGTACTCATTACTGCTCGATGAGCATCAACTATATAGGTCACCTCTGAAAAGCTGACTGTTCGGGCTTCATTTAACTGTGAATTAAATTAAACATCAGATCTCGCAAGGGGAGATGAGCGTTGTGATTATTTCCCCTCCGCCTTTCCAATAGTGAATTGCATGTACCTTACTGTGTGTACAGGAGGAGCTATATAGCGGCAGAAAACTTGCGTTTCTGATAGCGTTTATCCTGGGTTGAATAACCAGTGGGTTCGTTTGACAAACATTCAGAAGGGATTACTCATACGGGATCGGTTGTATATACTGTATAGCGAGTATTAGTCATTGGAATCCCAACAGTCAGAAATTTTTCCCTTTCGCAAGAAAAAAAATGCAATGAGCCGTTTTAGAACCAGTGTAAGAACGAGAGAAAACCTTCACCCCGTTTGACGGTTTCGAACTGCTGGTGTCGTAGAAAAGTCACGGTTGGGGTGACTGTCGGTTAAAAACGCTTCCTGGCACACGTGAGTCCCTTTCCGAGTACTGAATCGCACTGCATTCATGCGACGGCGAGAATTGTTGATTCAGCCTCTTTCTTTCTCTATTTTCCCTTTCATTCCCGAGAATGGAGCAGTTGGATCGGAATCCCAGCTGTGCGCGTTGCGGTATTCAGGATATTCCGAGTACTGGATGATAACTGGCGCAAGGTCGAGTCCTGGGCTTGCGCAATAGTTAATCTGGTTCGGCGAAACGGTGTCAGAACGGCGTTGCATGGAAGTGTTTGTCTATGGGGTAACCCTTGATCTGCATTTTGTATTCGATCCAAGGGTATCATGTGATACAATTCAAATGATGGACTGCCAATGAAACCTGTTAATTTACATCCGAAAAAGTACATGTATTTATCTCAGATGATTCAATCCTTTTTTCGCGGAGCCCCAAGAAAATAGTCACAGGAAAGTTAGTTGGAGGTTAAGATACGAAGAATAGGCAAGCAGTCAAGCACTTACGTGTCCGTATTTCATGGTATGATAGGTATTCACGGAAAATTTTCATCAATGAAATTATGAAGCCCAAGAAATATCTAGAATTCTACAGTACTGTATTCTTAAGATCTGATAGGTCTTAGGGGGTGTGGTTAATAATTTGATGCCAACGGGAGCTCCGGCGAAGACTTTTACCGTACATTGGGCTCTTCGGGTGAAACAAATGAAGTAGCTCTTGATATAAGTGACTGAATTGATGGCCAACCTTATACGCAGATACTGTTGAACAAGCACATTTCCGTAGAATTTCAAAAACTGCAGTCACATTCAAAATATTAATGGACAGATAGTCTTTTTCCCTTTCTTATAACTAATTAAAAATACCACAACTGGTGAGCAGTGTATCGTTTGGAAGCTACGAAGTCCCCAATGAACTTCAAAATATTTGCATATATGAGTCTATTCACTCAATTTCGAATCCATTGATAATCTACCTCCAACAGGCTTGCTTTCTCAAAGAGAGCTTTTCTGGAAATACCCACAGCTTTCTTAGTCAAAATTCA